GAATAGACATTAAAAAAGTGTAACATTGTGCTACTTTGAGCTGTTCACCACTTTGCCTATTGCAATTAGACAGAAACTGATGAGCATAAAAGCTTGTTACTTGCTATAGTGGTGATGGGAATCTATGAAACTGCTCTGAATCATTGCTAAGTTTATTTTCTGTTAAATCTGTCTTCTTTTTCTCCTACCCTTTGCCTCATAATAATCTGTATTTGTACCCTGTTGAACACAAGTAAAAAACACAGATTTGTTATTCAACCAACCATAAGCATCCCTCTCAGGAAGTTAAGCATCATCTAGACTGGCATTTTATTTACATAATGAACCCACAGAATTGAACAGCCTTTTGGTATTGTCAGCTCCAATGGCTAATAATATTGGCACATTTCTTTTTTATTGGCATGCATTGAGAATAGCCTATTTGAGTAACTCGCACTGTGGCTCTCTGACCTAAAATTTTATACAGAATTACTCATTAGCTCAGATTTCCTGTAGATATGTCAAAGTGCAAGAAGATGAAAAAATGTTGCAAAACTTTCAACAAATTTAGATGATATTATATACAATTCAGCTTCTATCATACAAGACCAAGAAAAAACACATTGGTAATACTTATGTCAGTTATAACATGATTTCAATGGCTATAATTAAGCCATTATTGCTACACAAGCACAATCTTAACATTTTCCTTACCTGAAAATGTATTTTTTCAGATAACTATTCATCTCTCTGTACAATAAAAAGCTTTTACTTTGTGTGTATTGCCATGCAAATTTCTGCACGAGCCACAAGCCTTGAACAAAGCTCCCACCCCCTATATGTGTCAATATCTATTGTGCCAGTCTATGATGTAATCATCAAAAGACTATAGATCTCCACAAATAGGAGGATGACATCCTCCATACACAGTAATACTCATGAACCTTAGCATTTGAACAAGTTCTCATTCTGGATGAGGCAAAGGAAACACACTGGAAATGGGGAGGAAGGTTGTGCAGAGAGGTATCTAAATTCATAAATATTACTCATTTATTTGAAAAAAAAAGAGCAAGAATCCAAATTTAAAAATGGTGGAGGGGTCAATGCAGAGCAAAAATTTACAAATAATAACTCCTTTATGAAAACAATGTCAGAAAGGGAAGCCAGTGGAGTGTGAAATTCACAAGGTAGGAGACCACATCTATTTTAAGCAGAGAATACTTTTCACCTAATGTTATTGTTGTATTCATTGTTATGAGAGGAGGAAGAGCAGTAGAATTTGTCACACAGATCTTTTGCTCAGTGCTAATGTAGCAATAAGGTGAGTGGAATGTAAGAATGCTCATCCAGTCATTACTTCACAGGCAAGCAGCTTAGCATAAGCGTATAGTGCAGCTAAGGCTGTAAGTCAGGCCATTCCATATAGGAGATATACTTACAAAGATACTCACCACAATAATCATATGCAGGAAGAAACGCTACAGAACTGTGCCCTGAGGCAACCCACAACCCATCCAGATCACCAAGAATGGCTTGGTTAATATCATAGGAGGGTGTTCTTTACATCACTACCAGGTAACACCCCAGCCCTACTTCCCAAATGAGAGGTACATCCACTTGGTTCTCATAACAGTAGGATTGCACCACACAATGAAAAACTCTCCATATCAACTTTTTCAGCAGCTTGAGACTGGGGAAGTAGTGGTTCCCTTGCATTCCTCTAGAAGAAATAGGGAGAGAGGAAGTTGCAGGGGGGGGGGGGAGAGAACAACAGAGAGGTGCTTAGACTGTGTCATCAGGCACAGTAATCTGTAATTAGGCTCCACATTGAGAGAGGGTGAAATGGCCTACTGCAACAAAAGACTGCATGGTGCTCTCATTTTTTTACCATTTGCAGAATGGCCTGGGAGATAAAATATACAGACACTGCAAAAGCAGTTTTGCTGAAAACCCCATCTCAACAGCAGACACTGAATAAGGACAGATGGGCTGAAAGAATCTTCTACTCCTCCCTTCCAACTCAATGTTGATTTTGATAAAAAAGTATTTCTTGTGAAGAAACACCAGCCACTCAGCATGTTCCATTATCTCCAGGTTATATAGTAATATTGAAAAGGTGGTTTGCAAGTCGTGTAACAAAACAACTTATTATCAGAGTCTCTAGTACGTGTGAAGAATAGTGAATGTAGGGAAACAAATCCCAGGGTAGGTGAAATCACCCTGTGGTGTAAGTAACATGACACTAACATGTTGAGGGTCACCTACATCCCCAACTATGAGATCACATACAGAGGATGACAATGTCAAGAGACAAGAGAAGCCATGAGATGACAAACAGAATAGATGAAAACATGAAAAATACGAATAAATTAACCAGATGGAGTGTTTAACCCAACCAGGCAAAGTGAACAATCATACAGGAAACAAAGTGAGGGAAGCTAGAATCGAGAAAGTATTCATCACCCACCAACACCATCCTAATGTTGGGGAGGAAGGAATGGTCAGGAAGAGACTCAAAAGGAGGTAGAACCACTCCAGACACAAAGCTTTCTCTGCTAGAGTTGGAGAGTTTATGACTGGAGACCAAATGTGTGGAGGGAAGTCAGAAATGCAATGATGTAGAACTCCCGAAGTGGGAGCAAATCCACAGAAAACATCAGAGAATTTAGAGACCCACTCTGTGAGAGGAGTCCAGACATAGATGAGATAGTCGATCCACCACCAGGACCTGACCTCCCAAGACATGATAGGCCGAACTGGATGTGGTAGTCATGGGCCCAAAAGAGAAAGTCCAGAGCAAGAAAAACAATGGCCCCAGAAACAAGTACCATTCTGTCAGAGGATGGAGGAAATAACATAAGAGATTTCTGAATGGATCATGATAGGAAGATCAGAGATGAAACAGAAGATGGTGACCAGCCTGCTGAGCAGCTAACATTTCGAGGAAACACAGATAAAAAATTCTCTCCTTTGGATACTAGATGACATAAATGGAACAGACATCCAGAACTGCACACAAAAGCAATATAATGCCTCAAGGATATAAAGAAATAGGATGATTCTGCCATACATGCAAAGTAAGAAAGACCTCTAAGTGAATGAGATACAGTGTGGGAATTGAGACTGAATCAGAGAACTGAACCAGCCACTCCACACAATGACTCCCAGAAGAGAAGAGAGGTCACAAGAGCAGATGCTGCAATGGAAGGGACAAACAGAGACCAAACATCCATAGAGTAATGGAATAGGCCTTAAGAAGTAATTGCTGAGCAAAAGCCCACCAGACCCAATGGAAAAAAATGAAGCCAGAATCAATTCAAAGGGAAAGTCTGAGAACTAAATGTTTGACCATTATGAATAACCTGAAAGAACTAAAAAAGCAGATGGACAGATTGGAATGTGGATAAAGCATCTGAGGTCATCCACCTCCATGAATAATATCCATTAAAAAGTGAGAAAACCATCCATTGAGAACCAAGGGAAGACAATAATGAGTGGCTACCAACCACCTGCCTTCATGGGAAGAACAAAAGGACAAGTGTGAGGTGGAGGAATTGTCCCATGTAGTTTGAAACAGGTGAGATGGAGAATAGAAAGACAGGAAAAAAACCACTGAGAATGTACCTGCGGAACTCAATAGGTTGTAACAAAAGGAATGGGAGAGCAGAGGTTCCACATGATCAGAGCCAAGAGGTGGCACCAGAAAAAATAATTCCCAAAATCTGCAATGATTAGCCCTCAGAATGGAACCAACCACGTGGTGTATAATGGCAATAATATTGCTGCTCATCAGTGTGTCTCCAGTTGCCATTACAATATTGGATGACATCTGTGAAGAAATGTAAAAAAAAACCAGGAGATATCAGAAACATGAATGAGTAATCTAGTTGATCCACAAAACTGATTTAAGGTTCTTTTTTGTAAAATAATCCAAAATGCTTTGTTGAGATATAAAATGAGCCTGGTATGTCAAAAATGCATAGACCTAATCACAACTGTGAAGAATACTCGACAAAACCCATGAGTTGGATTAAATAATGGTAACAAATGATGGAACATCTGTCCCAAAAGTACAAATCTGAGTATAAAAAAATCAAATTAAAGATAATGCAAATCAAAACTCTAACTGAAAAGTTCAAAATGTGGTATCATTCTTGCATATATTCAAAATAATTAAGGAAAGAAAGAATACACTACAAATGATAGTTTAAAAAATAAGTGCAAAAACTATGTTAATCAGTGTCAAGGAAAGAATGAGCCTCTGTTCAAATGCTAGTACACATAAGGATTACTGTGCATGGAAGATGTGTCACCCTCCTACTGATGAGGGCTACAGATAAGTGAATCATAGGCTGGCACAATACATGTTGACACATGTTGGGGTGGGAGCTCTGTTCAAGGCCTGTAGAATGCACAGAAGTTTACATGGCAGTGTGTATAAGATAATAGCTCTTTGTTGTGCAGAGTGGTTAATAATGTTTATGTACATGAATAATTTTTCAACTTGGTATTTTCAAATCTTGACTGAAACCAGGTAGGTTCTACTGCCATAAAGACAGCTATAGTTATTTATATTATGCCATTACTAAATAATTATTGATTGTTGGGTTATGGAATTTTGAAATAGGCATATTGAATGATACAGATCCCTAAATAATTCTACATTTTGAAATGTATTCTGAATATCATATTTCCCAAATAACACTGTGTTAATTACAAGTTGGTAAATATTGAAATTGTTGCCATATTTGATAGTATCCGTTATCTGACAATTCACTGTCTAACATTAATGGCATAAAACAGTGCTGTGACTGGCATAAATACAGCCACTATGATAACATGATAAAAATGTATGTTAACTGACTAATTGAGCACATTTGTGGTTAACTGAAGTCATGACAAATTAACCACATGGCTAAGACCTTTTAGACCCTAGTGCTAATGCAGTAGTACCACTAAATCAAACTTACCTGGATGTTATGGGCACTACAAAAAGGTTAGTAGTACTAATTTACACTTGCCTGGATGGTAAGAATGCTGCTGAAGACAGGATTTTCTAATACATTGATCAATGTATTAAGATCCTCGCCTACAGTAGTATTGAGACTGGCCTCATCTGAATCTTGGAGTTGTTGCTGGACTCTCTCAAGCAATTTCAGAGCCTGTCGTGTATCTGTAAGATAAATAATACAACACATTAATTTAAATGAATAACTGATAAAAATTAATTTTAATCCACAAACTTTTAACTTGTTACTGTTTTGTACCTAAACTAATTCTAATAAGGTTGATCAATATTATATTTTAATCTTATGGAATGTTTAGTCCAATAAACTTAAATTTGTTTAAGATTATGTTATACAGTTATACAGATAGTAAGGGCTACATTTAATTTATTTTTGTTTGCCTTGATTAACTATTTTAGAAAGTGAGATAACCTCAATCAGCTAAACACCCTTGTGTCTCCTTTGTCTATTCCTATTTATCTATTTTTAAAAGATTTTGATAAGGTGCTTCAAAAAGGGTTGTTTGGCTAATTGGTTTGGGATTTATGGCACAAAGAATTAAGGCTATTTTTGCTGGACACTATGAAAAAATTAATTAAGATAGAGAGCTATTTCTAAAAGTAAAAAATACAATATTTTTTCTAAACAAGGTTAAGGATTAAGTAGAATTAAACAAAAATAAACTCCACAATTAACTAAAAACAGTATCAAGTTGGACAGCATCATCATTTCCAGTGAGACTGTCCAACATTAATGGGTCACAAGAAATTAAGATATTTGTAAAATAATGTTATTGTTGAATGTCATAATGCTGGTTGAATCGACCAGGAAAAGCTTGTTGCATTGTTATTCATACCATGGAAAAACCCATAAACACCTGACTTTGAGTCATACATAAAAATTGAAATAGAATTATAGTTAGAGAGGTGTTCATTAAACAGAACCTGGTACTTTCAGTCAAAAGTATCCAACTTCTTAGGGTAACTCAAGGAAAGATCACAGTGGAGGATGGTAATGGGCCATGGCGAGATGAGCTGATCATCTGATTCAGCAAGTAATTTAATGTGAGACCCATCTCAGTCAACTTTGCCTGGATACAAATGCCTGAGGTAAGGATAGTAAACCAATTATTTGCAAAAAAAGCATATCCCAGTAAGGTATGAAGACAGTTCCAGGTAAGATGCTGTAGCAGTATTCAATGTTTTATGCAGCATAGTGTAAAGGAAGTTGCAAATGGCAAATGTGAAGTGGAGGTTCATAGGACTTTGTGAATAAACTCTAGATTAGAAAAGTTTGGAAAACCCATGTGGAGAGGCAAAGCTACTGATGATGCACAGAATCCAAGATCTTCAATACAGAGCTCCTGGTACAGATCATATGTCCACAGTGCAGCTCAGAACAATGAGAGCACAATACATCTTCGTCATATAATATATAAATATACATCTACTCCCCAAAGAGTAAAAGACAAGATGCAGAGGGCAGTCAGTGCCCTTTACATTTAACATTCAGCTCATTTATGTTTGTGGAACAAATGCCAGCTTATTGACAAAAAGAAGTCCTAAGAACTTTTAGTCTCAACCACCACATATATTTGTGCAACACTCAGATGGAGCTTGGGAAGAGGGTGCAGTCCCTATTGGTGGCATGCAACTAGTTTATAATGACAAATATAAAACCATTTGCAGTAGGCCTCTTACACACTTTATTGAGGGTTGTTTGAAGCTGCCATTCAATATACCTCATTTTCAATGAACAACAAGAAGTCTGAAAATCCACGATATAGAGGCTAATAACAATTGTAAGAAGTTTCAGCACTAATCTTAATGCTGAAAAGTATGACACTCTCTCTTGAGTATGGCTTCACTGAATGATATTTCTAATTGATTCAGGTGGTCCACAGTAAATAACTGCCAATGACAACCACACAGGATGTTTGAGAGGTTGTTGTTTCACCCTATGCATATGACTGAGTCAAAGTGTGCATGACATGACCTTTTACAGAGTTACATTTAAAATTTAATTAAACAACTTTATTATCAGCATATTTCAATAAATTTGGCATCAAGACATTGATTGTAAGTTTACATTTTCCTATACCAAAAATGTATTTCTGATAATACTTACCTCTCCTCACACTAGCTTTATCCCAACTAAAGGTTCTCTTCTTTGCCCATCTAAGCAATGGTATGAATTCTACCTCACTTGATCCAGTCTTTTATACCCAACTATATTGCCCCTAGTGATTTTAATATTGTGACTCTGTCCACCTACATCAATGTGCTCTCTATACCCGATCCATATATAAGCTCCAATTTATTCTTTTTTTATTCACTTTTTTCGAGATTGCCAAGATTATAAGACCAGAACACTGGCTATCATGGGGAGGAAGAGCGATATAGTGAAAGAGGAGGTAAGTTTTATCAG